TCCTAGTAGCGATGCCCTTTGCTCCTAGTAGCTACTTGCTCCTAGTAAGGCCAGGAGCCCCTAGTAGCTTTTTGTTACCCACTCCAAGAGGGATCCAATTGCAATGCCCCAGGGGTGTGTCCGAAGAGGAGGTTAGGGGAGTGCATTCATTTTCGGAGGACTCACGGCATCATGGCACTCCTTATTCCTTTTTAAGAGCAAGAACATGGTTGCAAACCATGTTGCATGTTGAAACGGGAGGATGGAGCGGGAATCTAATGTGGTTGGAGCACAGTTCCCACCAAACCCCCGCGATGCCTCATGGGAAATCATCCCATCATGTGTGCTAATTCGAGCAAGCACATGCAACTTGTGGCCCAGAGGGGGGTGGCGAAAGCTATGCAAATACACAACGCTGGGGCTCTTTAGGCAGCAAAAGCCAGGCCGAGGAATCGCAACATGCCATGGCCAAGGGAAAAGGAGAGTGCCAACAGCGCCCCCCCAATACGACCCCAACACAGCCAACACATGGCAACACACAACCACCCCAGCAACCGCCGCAGCAGCAGCAGCAGCAACAGCCACAACAACAATAACTGTAACCAGCAGCGGCAGGGGCAGCAAGCAGAAGCGACCAAGCAGCAGCAGGAGTAGCTAGCAAGCAGCAGCACCAGCTACCACGCAGCAGCAGCAGCAGCAGGAGCAGCTACCAAGCAGCAGCAGCAGCAGCAGCAGCAGCAAAGGCAGCAGCAGCAGCAGCAGTGTTGCGTTGCAACAAGTGCAGCAACCCTGAACCGCATGAATGGCATCAACCGTACCATGACACGAGTTGGGGCAGCGTGACAATAATATAGTTAATATAGGATGCACAAAGGGGAAACTCAACTACTGCCATGCTTCCACCAAACATCACCAAACTCTTCATCACCCGCTTCCCCCACTGAACTCTTCGCTCATGCCCCAACACGTCAGCAGCAACCAGCAAGCAGCCAAAGGCAATCAGCAGCACCAAGCATGCAAGCAGCAAGAGACCAAGCAGCAGCAGGTACTGAGGAGAAGGGTGGAGTTGGGGGGGGGGTTAAAGCCTGATAAATCAGGTATCTGCACTCAGGTCCTCGGCTCCCACCCTCCTTGCTAAAACAAAACAGACTCCAGCTAGCTACAGCTAGCTTTCGTGATTTGTGGAGGCTATCTTGGCATTTGGCTCCCAACAAATCGCTCTTGGAACCTTTCAACTCTGTTAATGCAGACTCTTGATTCATAAACGTAGGTTCAATCCACATGGGGAAGTCAGTTGTGAATCAAGAATGCAACCTCGATTAAACAGAACACCAACCATCTCCTTCAAAAACCATCTCTTAGTTGAACCTGTCTCCGTTCTCTTCGTTCTCTCGTCTTCTCTCATCTCCGTCCTCGCGGTGAGGGCCACCCGCGGCTCGCTCGGCGACGCCGGCCGCGGAGCGTGGCTCAAAGGACTCCTGCGGGGCGTGGCTCAAAGGCGCCCAGCTTCACGGGAAATGCTTGGAAGGGCTTTCTACCTACTAGGAACAAGAAGCTACAAGTAACAAAGGGCATCGTTACTAGGGTGGAGGCCATCGCTAGTAGGTACAAAGCATTCTTGCATAAGAGACGGCAAAAAAGAAGAACGCCTTTGTTGAGGTTAAGCGAGGGAATCTCTTCTCCATGTTGGCAACAAGTGAAGGACCCAAACAGATTTGTTGCCCCCGTTAGCTTACTAAAGGGCACTTGGCTACTAAGTATCTCCTCAATTTACTCCTAGCTCCTGGTACTGCTACTCCTACTGCTGCCTGACAGAATGACAGCAGTCTCCCAGGACACAACAAGTGACCAGCCACGAACTCCGCCACATCCCCACGTCCTGCTGGAGGCCACCTGCGGCGTTGCAAAGATCATCTTCGTCCACTCCAGTCCCCGAAAGACTTCTCTGCATCGTCCAGTGCACATCAAGGACATCAAGATGACCAGTCTGGAATTCTGTTGACAGAGCACCTGGCCTAATAGCTTCTTGTTACTACTAGTAACAAGTGCCTCGCTAGTAGTAACAAAAAGCTATTAGAATTAAAGTAAATTTAAAGTAAAATTCAGTATGTTCAGTTGTCCTCTTATCCCCTGCCCTTCCAAACCTTTCAAGACCGCTTCACAGTGGTTCATCTGACGGTCGATTAGAAAAGAACCGCTTGCAGAACCAATTGCAAGTGCTACTAAGTAGGTTGGAGGCCATTGCCTAAGTAAGTTGGAGGCCATGTCTATTAGGTTTTCTTTCCTTTTTCTTTTCTCTTCTTGTGCCGAACCAATTGCTGTTCTGGCTTCTCTCCGTCCGGGTCCCCGGCCGTCGCGCTGCGAGCCGGTCTCACCGATCCTTCCACCCGGACCTCCTAGAGCGCTGGCGGTTTCTGGGCGTATGGAGTAGGTCACCGGCGTATCGCCTTTCGGCTTACCGAAAGAGAAGGAAGAAACCACTTGAGTGCGTCACGTCGCAGTGAACCGAGAGGGGCCTTGGAAAAAAAACAAAGCGGCTCAGGACTTAGGTGTCATTGGGTACTCCTTTTCTGGATCCTTCTCGTTTGAAGACCCTCCAATCGACGAGGTACTCAAAGCAAACAATGCGTGGCCACATCCGTGAACAGTGCAACCAGATCCTTCGCCCCAAAAGAAGAGAACCATTTTAAGTTCTTGCAATCCCAGCCCAGAAGCACCAAAAAGACCTTTCAGTGAGGTAGCCGTGGCTCCGTGGCTCCCTATGGTTGGAAGATGTTGGATGCCGCAAGATGCCCCTGAATCTACAAATAACAAGAAGCTACTAGGAGCTCCTGGCATCGCTACTAGGAGCAAGGATGCTACTAGGGGCACTCATGGCCTTACTACTAGCAACAAGAAACTACTAGGAACAAGGGCATCGCTACTAGCCCTGAATCTAGCGGCATCTTTTCTGCATCCCACAATGACCTTCGAATTCCAAGGCACTGCCTTGCCGGGCGATGTGGCTCCTCCTGAGTTCACCTGGCAAGATGTGAGCAGATGCTTCTCTTCACAGCGACCACCAGCAAAGTAAATAGATGGGTCGCTTCTTGCACCTATTTACGTTCTTTTGCTTCCAATGGTCATTGCCAGCCCAATGGTCATTGTCGTTGTCAGCGGCCTAAGTACCTATCTACCAAACAAATCAGGTGGGGTTGCATTTGTGAAGAGGTCTTGGTATCCTTAAGTTCCTCCTGCTGTTCAAAGTCCTATATAGATGCTATTTTGAAGGGGTAACCCATATCTGACCAGGTCCAAACTGCATTTCTGTGTCACCAAGGTCTTCAACAGACACAGCCGAAACTGGACGCTGCCGGGACCTCGAGAGACGTTCACAACCCTCCCAGAACCCAACCACCGGCGCAGTGGCCGGGGGGGTTGTTCCCCCCGCGCCGCACTCGGGTTGAAGCAAGAATGGCTGGGGCGATCTATTTCGGATCTTCTCCGAACAGCTCCACCTCCTCTGGAGCCGTTTGCACCCTGCACAGCACAGGCTTCAACACCACACAAGGCAGAAAACGGGGCCCCAGGCCACGCGCACTTGCACGGAGGCAGGTCGGAGCATCTCCTCGCCGCGACTTGAAGGGAGTTGTGTCGTCAAAACGGAAACGGGGCCGCCCTCTGGTCTTTTCAATGCCTGGACTTGTTTTTAGGGGTGTTCTCTTTTTCCCAAAAGCATCTCCGATGCTTGGGTTCTTTGCAGGGCTTATATGATGGTCTTGGGTGTCCAAAATGTGCGCAATGCATGCGCCAGACAGTCAGTCATGGCCGAAACGGCAGGATTGTCGCGTGCCAGAACCGCAATGCATGAAATTTGATGGTTGGAACGAAGCATGGAGGGGGCTGATGCTGCTCCATGCTTCCTGGAACGGTTGTCAGAAGCCATGTTGCAATGGGGTTGGAGACTAGCTGCAGAGATTGAAAGCAGCCACTTGATATATATATATAACCAAAGGAAGTTTACTCATCATACACCGCTCATCATACACCACTCATCATACACCACTTATCATACACCACTCATCATACACCACTCACTCATCATACACCGCTCATCATACACCACTCATCATACACCACTCATCATACACCACTCATCAAACACCCCTTATCATACACCACTCATCATACACCACTCATCATGCACCACTCATCAT